TATGAAACAAGTAGCTTTGCAGAACCCTTGCCGAACTCAAGTACGCACAAAGAAGTTGTTTAATCTGCGCATGTAGTTAAAGGTGTGCGAATTGCCTTTAACAAGGACAAGACAATCACCCATGTACTGCACTTCTGCGTCCTTGACTAGTGTCTTTTCGACACTGTCCTTGGCTTAGGCTGGCTGCAGTCCCAATGCGGATGGACCAAGTGGAAGGAGTCACTTTTCATGGTCAAAGATGCTCAATGGAACGTTTGTTGATCCTTCGCCCCCACCAGTCCCAACAAGCATCTAAGACCTACTTGACCGGTTTCCAGAAGTTTTGGCCGAACCACGTGGAGTCCCCACGCGATCGATCTGACACACAATCGAGTTGGTCGAAGGTGTTGTTCCTCATAAGGGTTGTGTGTACCGAATGGGATCCGACGAGTTGGGAGACTCCGAAAACAGATTGACGAAATGATCAACAAGGGTTGGATCAAACCTAGCAAATCTGAATTTGGTGCACCTGTTTTGTTTGTCCCTAAGAAAGGAGGCAAACTTCGTATGTGTATCGATTATCACGGTCTAAAACGCATCACCCGAAAGAATGCACATCCATCGTCACGCACAAATGACTTGTTTGATGCTGCTGATGGGTGCAAAGTCTTCTCCAAGATCGATATCAAGTTTGGCTACCACCTTATTGAAGTCGATCTTGCGAACCAACACAAGTCTGTGTTCAAGACATGCGATGGACTTTACGAATTTACCGTAATGCCCTTAGGCCTCACGAACGCACCAGCCACCTTTCAAAGCCTCATGGACAAGGTCCTCCCCGAACACATTGGTTGATTTGTGGTAGTGTATCTTGATGATATTCTGTTCTTCAGTAAATCTATCGAGGAACACATGAAGCACCTTCGGGAAGTGTCCACCATCCTCAAGAAAACACATTTTCATTTCAACTTAAGAGAAATTTGAGATCGGGAGGGGTAACATCATCTATATTGGGCATCGGTTGTCTGTTGCAAGCCTCGAGTCTGAAGCAACCAAGGTTGAGGTCATACGCGACTGGCCTCAACCCATGAACATTCGTGAACTATGTTCTTTCCATGGTCTCGCATCGTACTATCGAAAGTTTGTGCCCCAATTTTGTATTGTTGCTCGCCCGTTGTCCCGACTAACAAGTAAGAATGTGTCTTACGCATGAAATGCAACATGTGAGACCGCATTTCAAGCCTTGAAAGAGACCTTGGTAAGTTAACCTATACTACGCATTGCAGATTTCAAACTAACATTTGTAGTCCCTACAGATGGTAACCAATATGAGATTTGCGCAGTGCTGCAACAAGATGACGACGATAGTTTACGGCCGCTCGAATACAACAACAAATGCATGCCCAACGAAAAGGTAGCTACTTCCATCTACATGCGCGAGCTCTATGCTTTGCGTATGGCTTTAGATCACTGGAAGCACTATCTTTTGGGATGCCACTTCAAAGTGTTCTTAGATCATGAGACCTTAAAGTGGATCAAGGAGCAAAACACCCTGTCCTTTACGTTACTGCATTGGCTTCATGAGATTGACATCTTTTATTTCGAACTAAGACATAAGAAGGGCTATCATAATAGAGTTGTTGATGTGTTGTCTCGCCACCCAAAGTACATAACTTGCCTTGTGAATTCCTACGACCTCCGTAAAAATCTGAAGAAGGTGATTATAGAACACACTGCCAATGACGCGGATTTTAATCCCGTCCTTGGGCAGTTGCAGGCTGACCCCAACAGTCAACCTGATTTTTGCGGATTCGAAGGACTGATTTTCCGACGCTATGGGAATCACGACTGTTTGTACGTTCCTAATCATGAGCCTCTCCGGACGCAGTCCTTGGATTTGGCTCATGGCCAGAGTGGCCACTTCGGCATAACAAAGACGTACAGAAACCTATTAAGATAGTTTGATCGACCTGATATGAAGGGATCAGAAAAGTTTGTGGTTGAGTGTCAAGTCTGTCAACAAATCAAACCATGTAGACAAAAGTCCATGAAGCTGCTCACATTCCTTCTCATTCCTAATTGACCCGGGGAGTAAGTCTCCATCGACTTCACTGACATGGGAAAGGTAAGTAAGAACGGCTATTTGCAAGTCATGATGATTGTTGACCGCTTTTCTAAATTTCCGAATCTGATTCCTTTACCATCTCATGCCCCAACTGAATTCGTGATCCGTGAATTCGAACAGAAGTATATTCTGCAGTTTCGGACCCTGAAAACTCTTGTGAGTGATCGGGACCCGCGCTTCATAAATACCGAATGGAAGGACTTCACACCCCAACTCCCTGGCCTCGAACAATGCATGACATCTGGCCGACATCCCAAAGGCAACAGTTTGTCTGAGGAGATCATCCAGACTATGTTCCAACTTCTTCCGGATCAGGAAACGTGGGATGAAGAGTTGTATTCCGTCAAGAGGTTGTACAACAACTTCATTCATTCTTTCACCGGCATCACGCCAAACAGCCTATCCTACCTCTTCCTTGAACAACGCTGATTTAACACCTGACAGGTCTGGCTTCAGGGCCAAGTACGATCACTTGCTCACAGTTGCCATCGCAGCAAGAACCAAGCGAAATCACGCAATGATCCATCATCCAAACAAGAAGCGCCGACTTTCGGATATCAAAGAAGGAGGTTATGTCTGGGTCAAGATGTCTAAATTCTCAGAAGAAGAGGGTGTCTCACGCAAACTTCTTCCGCTCTATTATGGTCTGTGGAAAGTTCTAGATGTGATTGGCAAGGATGGGTTTGGCCCCTCATACACCGTTGTTGTGCCACCTCATCCGCGCAGATACCCCATCTTTCATGCATCAAAACTGTATATCCACCGTTATGCTAAGACCTTCAATTATGGTGAAGACATGATTCCTCGTGCAATCGATGACGGTCATGAGATCGAAAGAATCAAACAGCATATGGGGAAGGGCGTAACAGACAGTACCAGGTTCACTTCATGTATCACCCATTGGACGATCCCTGCTGGATCTCCAAGAAGGAACTCTTGCGCAACGCACCCCAAGTTGTTAAAGCCTACGGATGACAAATCGCCTCTGATGTCTTTCCCAAAATCTTTGCAAAGCTCATTGTAACAGAGTACTCTCGAAATCTCTTTGCCTTATTTGCTTACAGTGCGTTTGTCGGGGATACTCGCTCGAATGGACCTCACTCTTGAGGGGGAAGTAGTGTGATGACCCGACCAAACACAGACTGAGACACACAATTGACTTCTGAGTTTTGCCTATGGACTAAATGCCTTGTTGAGTTACCCGCTTGCTACTAAGTTCTGCATGTCTGTGTGTGGGCACGCCTGCTGGTCTGCATGACTATCAGAGTACGACTTGGCTTGAGTGTGTGTGTAACCCGCAAGGGCACTTGCTCGTTCGTTGGGCCCTCAGGGCCGGTACTTACATGTGGTTGTGACATTGAGGTCTGCAGCAGGGAAAACACTAAAGTGGCAGGGGATGAGCGGGGAAACACTCAAGTAGCAGGTAGGACGGTACCACACCCTGAAAAGGTAGATGTGTCAGGTATTAGAGGCCGAGAAGAAGAAGCCCAAAGAGACATCTTTAGAGGCTCAGTAGTTGTTGGTTAAGCCTAGGCGGGTAGCAGTCCAACCAGTCTGAGTCTACGGCCTGTACGGGTAATATCAAAGTTTGCAACGATGTTTCCCTCCGGAAGAGAGGAGGTACTGGTTGCTTGGATGGTCGAGCGGCCTGGAAGTCACCACCCAAGAGGCAAGCAGGTCGCTATATCTCCTCCAGGCCGAGCGAAATGCCCAGCCTCATTGTCGATGTGCAAGCTTGGCAACACACTGGTTGGAGCGCTGGCTGGAGCAGCGCTGCTGGGGAAGGAGCAAGGACACAGAGAAGGAAGAAGAGCAGAAGGAAGGGGGAGCGCTAGAGGTACTTACTAATACCTGGTTATGGTGGCAGCCATCTTCATCACCTTGGTGGGCACTGCAGCAGGAAGACCCCAACTGAGATAGAGCTACACCAAGAAGCTTCGAGGCAGAGTCGAGCATGGCCGTCTGCGCTAGAGCAGCCATAGCTGCTTTGGGTTGTTCTTTGGGCATCGGGCATGGCCCAGTAGTCCACCATAGCCTCGGCCTATGAGAGTGAAGAGTGAGGGAGGCGGCCATGGCTATGGTGGGCCTCAAGTGATGCCTGCAGTAGAAGAGGGATTCAGACATTAATTCTGGTCCAGCCATTCAACATTGTACTATTACTTCTTGTGCGAATAAGAGAGGAGTAAAGAAGGAGAGTGTTTGGCGAAGAAGAAGAGCTTTATCACTTGTCTACGCTCGTGTACATCATCTTCTTCTTCTTTTTCTTACCCTCTCTCTCCTCTCAAGATCATTCATTTCTTTCTGCGATTGTACGACATTATACCATCTGATGAATGCGTATCTCAAAATTGGCCAGGATCATAACCACCACAGGAACAAGGGGTGTTTAGCAACATGCTGACGTAGAGCGCATCACCTGCATTCGGATGTATGGTATGAATTCGTCCAATTGTATTGGTTGCTTGGTGTCTGACGACCGTGTCTTTATAGAGCGGTTTACTGTGTTCCGAGTCATGGAGGCGAGCAATGCTCCACTTGAACCATCCAGTTAGTTCAGTTTCCGATGCTGGATCGCATGTTATTTGTTCATCTTCATGTTGTCTAAAGTATACTCCTTGTCTGTGTTCTATATGAACTCGCAGTGCAGACACAACAGGGTAGCGTTGAAACACTTCAAAGTCAAAGATTCACCAACTGGCCTCAACGGCCCGATTGTGTGCATGTCTTGATACGTTTGTATTTTGTCATTATTATTGATAGCTTCAATGACCATTGCTCGATCAGGTCCTTTGAGGATACAGTCTAACATATATCGGTAAATTGCCATCGATGCACATCAATGTTCAGATGACATCGGTAGATCGGAAGACGATACGGGTTGTAAGGAACTATCCATGACTTATCAATTTGTTCATTTCCATAGGGGATAGGACAAGTTCACGTAGGCAGATACGATACTGTCCATTTGTTCAGGTGTGGAAATTTTGCGATATTCAAGTATACCGATTATGAGCATTTGAAAGGCCACTTTGTAGGAATGCAATAGAATGCACATATGCAGCGGTCACACCAAATATATGAGAAGAATGGATGTCACGCCCGAGCTCACGAAAGTATCCTTTGAAGTCGCGAGCTAGTAAGTGTGGTTCGCCCACGGGCTGCTGATCAGGAAGGAAAGCATGTTCGAATTACATGTTAATGTGATGAGGAGATCCGGCGCGCCGAGCTGTTGGACGGCGGCCATTGCATCCTCGTATAGTCGACGCATATCACGGGGTCCACCGGTGGAAGTTGCTGGGAAGATAATACGTTCTCTGAATTGTCATAACGCATGACATGGTCATGAAGATTCTGGTACACTTCAGCACGGATTTCTCTTAGGTGAAGACGGTCGAACAGAAGACGTGCATTTTCAATTTTCAAAAAAGCCATGCAAACATATTCCTGGAAGAGTCGGGATGCACAAAACATTATTCTTCATTCCGTCCGGCGTGTATTCAGATGAAAGGCATAAAAATCGCGCGCTGTGAAGTTGTGAATGTCAGGATTGTGGCGTAGAGATTCTCTTCAGCAGCCCGCCCACCCTCACCACATGGGAAGAGCAGAACAGTGTAGAAGGTCAAATGCGCAGTTTGTGCCCGCAATTAGGGATGGTGCCACCACCTCGGCGACGTATCACAATTTCACGATTGGCAGGTTCATCGTGCACAAGGATCCCTCCAGTCTGTTGTAACTGTGCAGGTGTTCATTTGTTGGACGAACATCAAGATTGATAACTCCGCGATTCTCTATCATATGACCAGGGAACTCGGAGATTGTAATGAAATCTCGAACCCAACGATTGCGCACTGACAGAGGAGAAACTGCAGTTTTCTTTCGTAAGAGGGATTTGATTTGTTGTGCTGTGTCCAGTGGCATGTCTGGTGGTAGATCGAATCCATGCAAGCGGAGAACCGTCCCAATGTTTTCGTCGAAGGGGTCGTATATGTAAATTTGCACAAACAATCGCGTTGGTTTTCTTCTGGAATAAGAGGGCCTACAAATTGCCACAGTTGTCCCTCGATTATGAGCACGCCTTGCCAACATCCAATCGGCCTCTGTGTTTCTTTGACGGTTTGGGATGCGGGGGCAAGCACATTGTTAAATTGCTTGCGCTCATGATCGAAGCAGTCTACCATAGCGAGTGTTGGTTTCCCAGAGGCACAGAATTTCATCGGCAGGAGCGCCTGCATCAGGGTATGTCCATAGTGGCGGTTAAACTTTCCCTTGGAGGCCGCACAGGGAAGGCGAAGTGTGTTCATGCGGCATTTTTTGTGCGTTGCGGTCTGTGCAGGATGTTCTGTCGCCAAGGGTTGCAGAGTTGCAATCTCAAGTAGAAGTTGTTGGACACAAAGTGCGGCTGCATAAAGGCGGGCACTGTGGATTCCAGGGCAAATATTTTCCGTGAGTCTGTAATGACGTTGACGTTCTGTGTGCATGAGGCGCGTGGGCTGTGTTGGATGCTGCGTGAGTTTCCGAACGAGTTTCCAACTAATCGGGAGAAGATCGAGTGGGGGCGTGGAAATGTGAGGACGGGAAGGACAGAAGTAGAGGACACATGTCACGAAACACACATGGAAGGAATGTACGTTGTTCGAGAACATTGGCCGAAAAGAAAAAGCAGAAATCAGCAGTTTCCCAAAACATAACATAATTCAGAATTTTCTGATCATTCCTAAAGAAGGAAAAAACAAATGCATGTCCAAGCTGTCCTTCGTTTATCAATGTCTTTACTATCGTCCCATCACCAAGAAAAGCTGGAAAAAAGCATCTTGAGGACCAAGTTTCCTGTCGTAAAGTAATCCAGGCTTTACTCTGTTTATCAATTTATCAGTCCCCTACCAATCAAAGATTACAGAACCAACAAAAAGACGGATCACCAATTTCTGGCAAAACAACACAAGCAGGTCATCTCCTTCCCGTAGGCGTAGGGATGGAGAGGGGGGGGGGGGAAGGGGAACAGAAAAAAAAAGTGGCATTGCGTTTTCTTGCCCAACAAAAAAGCAGGAAGCATTACTAATTTGACAGTTTGGAAAGTCAGT